ACTACTTTAAAATTTTTCCAGAATAAAGTCAAATGTGTCTATATATATAAATACAAATTAAATACAAATGTTTATGTAAATAGAAGGGAAGGAGAAGGTGGGGGGAAGAGGGAGATAGAGGGGGGCGGTATTCTCTATCGCGAAAAATTTAACTGTTGGAGTTGGATAATACACACATAGGGATTCATTAGGCTAGTCTTACTACTTTAAAATTTTTCCAGAATAAAGTCAAATGTGTCTATATATATAAATACAAATTAAATACAAATGTTTATGTAAATAGAAGGGAAGGAGAAGGTGGGGGAAAGAGGGAGATAGAGGGGGGCGGTATTCCCTATCTCGTGTTCATTGGGAAATATTTTTTCGCCCTCAACTTTTATTGCTTGGGATAATTTGGTTTTAATTAAAGTCTGAATTTCACTTTCTCTGTACTCCCTAATCTTTTTAGTTTATCTTCCAGCCCAGATTCCTGGATGCTATTTTTCTTTGCCTTTTCTTTGGACTGCTTGAAATCCACCTATCAAAAGTCTAGGAGATATTATGCCTGTTTCTCCCTTCCTATCAGCAATACAAATTTTAAAAGGTTGTCAATTTTTATTTAGGACTACATTAGTTCTCCCATTATCTTTTAGAACAGTGGTTGCTCTAAGTGTGTTCCTTATACCAGCAACACCTATTATCACCCCTGAACTTGTTAGAAACACAAATTAATAGATCCACTGACCTACTGTAACAGAACCTCTGAGGATGGGGACTGGAAAACTCTCCAAATAAGTCCTATGTATATTAAAGTTTGAGAACCATTACTTTAGGAGAAGAAACTATTCCAATTCAAATGCTGTCAGACAATGTGCTTTTAACCAAATGTGATTTCTATCAAGAGCCTAAATACCAGGAGTCCCTCATGGTACTGTATACATTAACCTTTGTGACTATTTTATGTCTGCAACTCATCGCCTCTTCCCTTGGCCAAGGGCCACACAGCAGACTTTGACTTCTGTATCTATCTCATTTCTCTTTTTTTAAATTCTATTCTAGATGGTGTTCAGCATCTTTCCACTCAAATAATCTTGGATCTCAATGCAGGTATATAATTTCTTGCCCTATCACACTATTATATCTATCTTTTAACAAACCTGAGTCTCTTCCCAGACAAGAAAAAGCTAAAGAAGTTCATCACCACCAAACCAGTATTACAAGAAATGTCAAAAGGACCTCTTTAAGAAGGAAAAAAAGCCCCATAAATATGTATAAAATGGCAATAATTATATACCTATCAATAATCATTTGAATTGTAAATAGATTAAATGCTCCAATAAATTACATGAGTCTAAGACTATAGCTAAGAATGTTGTGACTGACACATAGGGTAAGATATTGAAATCAGAAATGACAGATTTGTTGCCAGCACAAACAAGTTAAAGAGCTTTTTAAAAATATATAACATTCATTTATAACATAATATAAAAATTTTAAGAATGGCCATTATTTTGAAACATTTTGTTAGAAAAGAAATCCTGATCAGTCGTAACAGTTTGGGTGATTATGTCTCTAATTAGTTTAGAAGGAAATATACATACTAAACCAATTTTATTTTTAATTATAGAAAACAGGCTTTTTTTTTGTTTTAATAAAGAAAAATTAAAATGATCCAGCCTTAAAATATTGTCTGAAATTCAAATACTAGGATTAAATACACAGACTAAAGTAAGAAATAATAATAAAAAAAGTCAAACAGTGAAAAACAAATACCATGTGATTTCACTTATACATGAAATTAAAAAAAAGTAAACAAACAAGAGAAATTCACAGATTCAGAGAACATTTTAATGATTTCCATTAAATGGGAAGGAGGTTGGGGGAAAGGTAAAAAGGAGAAGGGATTAAGATATGCAAATTGCTAGTTATAAAAACAGTCATGGGATGTAAAGTACAACACAGAGAATATAGTCAATAATATTGTAATAATTACATATGGTGTCAGATGAGTACTTGACTTATTGGGGTGATCACTTTGTAAGTTATATAAATGTTTAATCACTATGTTGTACACCTGACACTAATATAATATTGTATGTTAACTGTAATCAAATAATTTAAAAAGTTGTTTTTTAAAATTTAAGTCTCATGAAAAAGACATCCTTGCATTCTTATATTCAAATGGTAAGTCCAATCCAGCAAATTAAGATAGTCATGAGATATTTATTACTCTCCCTTATAATCTCAACTTTATTTTATCATTCACATTTTGTATGCTCTTATGAAGATTTTTGAAGCTTCTAAGTACTACCTCCAGCTAAGTTTCCATATTCTTGTCTTTTGTGAATCTCTCCATTTATACTGCCTCCATTTATTCTGCTTACTAAGTCTTACTTGATGTCTAACACCATTTCATCAGTTAAATTGCTCATTTGTCTCCTCTTTAGTAATATTGTCTAAAACTGTCCTAACCAGATCAGCTGGTTCCTAGGAAAGCAAACACAGGATATACTCCATCCCTCCCTTCACATTCTCTCAAACTCAGTAGAAGATTATGATAATTATACTAACTGCAAGCTTTTCTTCTTAAGCTTTTAAATCAATGTTTTTATAATAATGATAAATAAAAACTATAGATATAGTAAGAAAGGGATTTATAGGGCCAGGAATATGAAGGGGATTAATACAAACTTAATAGTTTGATTTTTCAAAAATGCTTTACTTGAGGTCATCCCTTTCCTTGGTTCTTTTGTAAGCAGAAATATAATACTAATATGATGATAAAAATTATTTGTTTGCAAATCAATATATTTGTGATTATATTTTTTCCTCTTTAGAAGTGGAAAAAAGCTGACTCAATTGTATATTCCACTCTGAATTATGAGATAATTAACACCAATCAATTCCATGTACAAATTAATATGTTTATTCTACACACAGATGAATAAGTTCCAAGTTTCACAAGTTTTAAGTTTAAAGACCACAATGTAGAGGAAACATATCATTAACGAGGTTATAGAATTTATATTCAAAATCCAAGATTATTTTGAAAATATATAATTTATTTAAATTGGGATGTTTAGTAAATAAGTTAACTGATTTGAAAAGAAACATATCCAGTCTGGTTCATAACATATCTCAACTCCAAAGAAGTAATAAAAGACAGCAATAAAAGAAAATAACAAAACATAATAATAAAAGATCACAAAGTAAAACATAAGCACAATTTGCTGAGAAATCTGGGTTGTGAAACTAGTATATGCATATAAAACTGCATACTTTTTAAAATAATTATTTTTTAAAAATAAGTGGGTAAAAATTTACTATTCATTAACAAAAAGGAAAACAATGAGTCACTTAACATCTAAACTGTAGAAAGGATTAATTCCCCAATAATTAAAATAGTCACTTATTACTGCTAAATAGTTAGCTGTTAAATCAGTTATAAAAAGTAAGTAGAGTTTAAGCAGAATAATTCTATTTTTTAAAACAGCATCTTCTATTTCTATTATGGAATATAAATACTTTATAAGTATTCAATAAATATTAAATTAATATTGTCAAAATCATTACATAAGTGATAAATATGGACAACATAAATTTTAATGTAAAAATATTAACTTTGAGAGGAGTTTGGTGGTAAGATGTATAACCATACTTAGAAAATATACAGTTGACACCTGAACAAAGGTAAAAGGCACCCACCCTCCCCCTGCACAGTCAAAAATCTGCATATAACTTTTGACTCCCTGAAAACATAACTGTTGACCAGAAGCCTTATCAATAACAAACAGTTGATTAACACATATTTTATATATTACATACTATAGTCTTACAATGAAGCTAGAGAAAATAAAATATTAAGAAAATCATAAAGAAGAAAAAATACATTTACAGTATTTATGAAAAAAAAAACCCGTGTATAAGTGGACCCTCACAGTTCTAACCTGTGTTGTTCAAGGGTCAAATGTACTTTTTATTTTTGTTACCCAAACCCTGCAACTTTTTGAGTCATTCAGCTTTTGGAAGTCTGTTTCTCTCTACCAAAATTGGACCCTGAAGATGACCTATCAATGATAAATGCTTTGATAATCGACTACAAAATGACTTTAAGTGTTTATAAACCTCAGTATATCATAATCATCCCCTTTATTCTTCCATTTGCTCAGTTATATTGTCCTCAACAGAAGTACTTAAAATCATTCTATTCTTTTCACTTCTCAGCTCTTATCTATCATTCAACTTTCAGTCTTATATCAATCTTTAGTTTTTTAGGGGCTAATAAACATGTTCACCCAAAGAAAGTGCCAGTATAGGACACAATATTCTGGTGTTGCTTTGGGATTCTTAAGGAAAAGACATCTTATACATATAAATAAATGGATATGTTTAGAATTCATTGTTATAATTTGAGATTACAGAGGTCATTCTCCCTATACTTCTTATAATAGTATTAACAAAGATAGTTTTATCTTTTCATGTCAGTTTTGACACACAAGAATGTTACACTAATGACTATTATTATTTTTTTCACCAAGAAAAGAAAAAAGTCAAACAAACATAAGGCTATTTCCCTTTTTACCATTGACTAAATGAGGTGCCACCTTTTTATATTTTACTCCAGAAAACAAGAAAGTTCATCATAATTGAAATGACCCTAGCCTAGGACTATTATAAAATGTATACATATGCCCCAGAAGATCTGGAGTCTCGATCAGATCTCTTTCTCTGACTAACGTGCCTCACACAGAGCTAATTCTCAATGAATGTCTGCTACTGAATGACCTTCAAAAGAGATGGCAGCCCTGTGATGAATAAACTAACTTGAATTAGTAATTCCTTTTTTCATCCATTCACTCAACATTATCAAGCAGCTATAATAATGTATTGCTTTCAATCATTCAATAAGTACACAAAATGTGAAAACTATTATATGGTAAGGAATATTTCTATATCCCTATTTTTTAAGAAACTTCAAGTGTGTACTTCACATGTAGTTTTATGGATGTAAATGACCTTACCTCTCTTACAGATAACTGTGGTGGGAAGGAGACTGAAAATACCAAGTTGTTGAATTCAAATCCAGAGGCCTCAACCTTTTGGCACACCTAAAAAAGTATCACATAAAAATTATTTTATTACATAAAAAAGTATTATACAAATTCCCAGGAATTACTAAAAATTTTATACTAATCTTCATGACATAAATTTTTGGTCCAGGAGATGACATGGCAAAACTTCCAAACTTTAACCTTTCAATAAGAGAACTCTCACAAACATCCTGAATTCAAACATTTGCTAACAATGACCATGAAGACTGATATTACCAAAGCAGCCAGGACTCACCTGCAGAACAATCTGTTGAATACCCAAATAGTTTTCTATTAGGTTACCTCATAATTTAAAAAAGATTTTAAAATAAAGCTAATATGGTACTCTTGACAGTTGGAAAGAAAAAGCAATCCCACATTCAATTATGTACCTTCCAAAGTGCTGTAACATCTGTCTTTTCTAGACACTAATAGGTTGACTCCAACTCCTTAGCTATGTAAAATAGCAAAGGGAAAACTGCTATAATTTTTCTTCAATTGAATAGCACTCATGACCGAAATACATGGATGGGTACATATTTCATTAATTTGTAGATATCATGTTGATAAAAAGGTAATTTGAGATAAAAAGGCTTTTTTTTTTTAAATGATCCATTGATGTGAAACAAGTTGAAATGAATGGCATCATTCCTTCAGATAGAATAATTCTAGGCCTTAAGATCGAAAATCTCTACATAATTGCACATATAATAACCAAAAACAGATTATTTACCTTTTTAATGAAATCTTTCTCACAGAATCCTTGAAGAATTCCTAGGCATACATTGCATACATTTAAACTTGAGTTTTTGGAAGCGATGCTTCCATCTTCAATAATGGAGACCCTTCCCTTTCCATTTTGACTCAGATTATCAATCCCATCAATCCCATCTTCTAGTTCTTGTAGTCGAATTTTCTTGGGAGGTGGATTTGGAACTTCCAAAACTAATTCATCTTTTTCAGTTTCCAGAAATTTCTGTAGTTCATTGAGCAACTCCTGGAAAGTTAATTTTAAAAAAAGTAATAACCCTAAGGGTAAGACGAAGCATGAAAACAGGAGTGAAAATTATGATAGATCACAGATTAATACAATGTTGATTTATATCAATTCTGGAGCAATAAACTAATTTTATTAGCCAGTGTTGGCTTTCTGGGGAATTTAAAAGAGAATTACCCAATTCCTGTAATAAGTGTGTGAATATTGTTCCACTTAGATCAGTGAAGCTAAAGTCCTAAATCTGAGGCAGAAAGTTTCCAATAAGAAATTTATGCATTTGGTTTGTAGTTAATTGTGGGGTCAATCACTTGCTAACATCAATTAAAAAAAAAAACAAAACACCACACCTCAATTATATTAACAAGTAGAAATACAAACTGAATTTCCATTATTGCTAAGATATTCAGTAATCTCACAATCACTAAAATCTCATAGGTACAATATTTATTTAATGTAAAATCTGAAAAATTAGAGATTAGAAGTCTAATAAGTAAAAGTAATTTTAAGACAATTTACTATACAAAAGTAAACAGATGCTGGCAACACTGAAATTTGTCAACTTAATTACAAACCATTTATATGCATTAGTTAAAAAGAAGCCCTCTACTACATTCTGGTTTGCCTAATTTCTGTCAGAATGTTAGAAGTGGCATTCCTTCGAAAACATTTTCATTTTGCACACATTCCATTCATCCAAATACTCAGAGGACTTTGTCTAAATTAAACAGGCTTTATTATTCAGTGTTGAATAAATATCCTTTTCAAATGCACTCAGATTACAATTTAGTGACTCTCAAGGGAAAAATCTATCACTCAAACAAATTTAATTCAGTTTATTAAGACATTAGCTCTATTTTATCTTTAACAGAGAAATACTCATACATACATACACACACAGGTATATTAGGACCCACACAAATATGTTTATTATGTAAAATCTATGTCAGTATAACACAGTACATATAAATGTATGTGTAGTTATATGAATAGAACATATCAAAATTTAAGTACATTTACCAAAAAAATTGTCTTCAAATAGTTTCATGTTTATTTACATTAAATGATACAAACGAAAGTTGGTAACACTGTCTCTTTATATATTTTATATCTTACAACATGTATAGAATAATAAATTATAATGTGTTTGGAAAAAATGTGCAAGGAGAGTTACACAAAACCAATCTTATTACTTTATAGTCATAGTGTGTATAAATGAATATACACACATATATTAATCATCACAGCATATGTACCATTTCCAGTTTTCAAAGTGTTTTCACATACTTTATTAGATATTGTCCCTTAAAATTCTGTGAGGTGGATGTTATCATCATTCCCATTTACAGAGGAGAAAACTGAAGATGGAAAGTGGTGGAACTGGGATTCAGATCCATGTCTTCTAGCTCCAAATTCTAGGCTTTGGATTCAGACAGACAGTTCATATCCTAGCTTGCTCACTTAATAGCTGTGTAACTTTGGGCAGGTTGCTTAACCTCTCTGTGCCTCAGTTTCTTCATCTGAAAATAGAGACAATCATATATGTACTTACCTAATAGGTTACTATGAAGACTATATGAGAGCCTGACATATAATAATGCCTTATGAATGTTAGATATAATTATTTCCAAAATAATAGAAACAAATAATACATAGGAAAAATGTTGTTAAAAACTTTAAGAAACTGACTGTGCATGTGTGTGTTCATATTATTTATATAGTGCTATATATATACACACACACACATATATATATAATTACTATCTGCCTCTGAAAAGAACATCACTATTAGAATCAAATATATTTCACAAAATGTTATATATTTTAGGTGAAAGTATTCTATTAAATGTCAAAGCTCTTTGTACATTACCGAAAATTTCAAAGATCTCTGTATATTTTGTTATTAATAGCAGTAAATGATTTTAATAGCATTTACTTCTAGAGAGTTGCAAATACCTATCTATAAGTAATATAGAAAGCAGAAAAAAAAAGGCAATCAAATCCACAATGCTTCCACTTAATAGAAGATCTCAGGGCTATCAACCCCTCTTGATATATCTTACTGATATCTGGTGAGAAGCACTATT